CGTATGTGAAGATAACCGAATAGAATTAGTTGTATATTTGAAAATTTCAAATAATTTCAATTAAATTTATTTTATATTACGTATTTATATTTAAATGCTCACGCGAAAAAAGTAGAGATTTAAAATACGAAACTGTTTTTGCAGGTAATGAGGCGAATCAAAGAGGGGTACAGGCTAGACAGGCCGGAACACTGTAAGAGGGAGCTTTATAACATTATGTATTACTGTTGGGACAAAGATCCTGCATGTAGGCCATCCTTTGGGGAACTCGTCAGTCTAACAGAAGGCCTTTTACTCGACGAAACCGATTACATCGAATTAGATAGGTTTCCGGATCACTCGTATTACAATGTGCTCAATCTCAGCGGGGAGAAATTGTAAATGATGTACCTAAAATATTACCAAGTACCATCGACTTTTGCCAATAATTCTCAACCGATAGAAGAAACCGTGAAGTATAATTAATGTAAAATATCGAATTGGCCACGTCAAGTTTCAATTATTAAAAACTTCACCATTTTTGGTATACTCTCATCAAATATGACTGATTTGTATGTTTGTTTCTTTCTTTTGTTTTTAATAATTAGAACTATGTACGTAATAACGAACGATATACTTTACAGAGCATGAGTGTTTTTACCTGATTATAGAGTTTCTTACGCTCTTCGATGTGTAAATACGGAGGATAATTTATAACTGTATTTTACTAATTATCGACTGATTAGCGAACTGTTTGGTTCATTGATCACCTGCCTTCTTTTTTTTTTTTTTCAATGATATACGTTTTGCGATGGAATTAAATTCACCGAGTAATCACGTAAATTGACAAGTTGTATATATTAATTACACGAACAAAGCTTCTGTACGTTTCACACGCTGAAGAAATTGCAAGTATTCTGATGGAGAACGAGCGTTGTGAACTAGTCAGAGTTCAAATCAATTTTTCACTTATCTTCGCATTGAATTTTATATGTATACATACTGTAATATACAAATGTCGCGTATCGAAAAATCGAAGAAAAAATGGAATTACGTAAAACTGAATAATTGAACTCGTGCAAAACGTTATATCCGAGTTAAAAAACAATTACCCTGATGATGAAGTCTTTTATATTACTGATGCGAATTGTACATATGTATTAAGTAAAATTTTTGATAAGTTATTGTATAATTAATTTTTGTAAGAATAAATCGCACTTTATTACAAGTTGATTTTATTTCCTTTTCGAAGGAACAGTTTTAGAAACGATTAATTAATAATAAGTAATAAACAAAGTTATTTATCGAAACATTTAAAACTTTACTGCAGTGGATACTAGATTAAATATTAAATTTTAATTAGAAACAGAAACTATGAAATACCGTTTTCCGTTAAATTCTAGTTTCAGTTAGATTAACAGTTTTATCTCTTGTACCGTTATCATATTCGAGTGATAAAGAAATTCACAGAGAAAATAAAATTTAACGAAATGTTTGTTTGGAGGTGATTCACCGATCTCTATTGCAACAGAGATCCAATTTAGAGTCAGTGAAGAATAAATTCCTTCCTTACGACAGTGTTATACTGGATGACTCACGGACTACATTCGAAATTTATATATTTAAAACACTAATTTCAATTACGAAAAATTGAAAATACTGATTTTAAATAAATCTTAACAGATTTATCGGACTCCAAGAAAAATAAAGAATAGGAATAACATTTGAAATTCGCAGAAAATTTTCTTTAAAAATTTTAACCTAATTTCGCTTAATTTCGTTCAACTTTCCCTTTCGTAAACATTAAGGGAATTTTGTGTAAGAGTTTTTATAGTCTGAAAAAATTGTAACATAATATAAAGAAAAAAAGTGTTTAAAAATAGCTACACTATTCTACTGGAATATAATAACAGTTATAGTAATATATATATACATGTAAGTATACAAAATTTAAGAAGTAATTTATCTTATGGGGTTAGTTAAGCTGTTGATACATGGTGAAGAATTTATTGGAGAAATGAATTTGTTTACTGTTTGGAATATATTCAGTTAATGATTCATTCGTTTCCATTCGTAACTCTATTTTTGAGAAAGAAAAGATATTAATCCCTTCTGTAACATACCATTCTGTTTTCAAATTTGAGCACAATTTTTGAATCAGTCTGTATAAGTCGAGCCTAACACACTTTTTGAGGCCACATAGAACATACATCGATTATTATCCGCACGAATACCAACACGTGACCGCGCAGCAGACGACGTAATGCACAGGCAGTGTCGGCTGTCATACACACGCAACTGTTGCGGTTGATTGGTACACTTTTTCGCATGCGTTAGTTTTATTCAGTTGCATTAGTAGAAGAACTACAAGTGTGAATTAATAGTTTTGTTCGTGTTGAAATACGTTATGGAACAAAATAAATATATACCGTATTCGCGTACCGGTGACAAGGAAGAAGATGAGGTTAGTTTACACTCCGTTACAATTTATAAATTGTGAGGTTAAGAAATCTGTCAAAGTGACAACGAAATGTACACTGTCATATCGCGCGTTAAATTTTCAAAATTTTTAACTGAGAACACATTTCTATAGATATTGCTGGAACCGTTTAGTTACATTCTCCAGGTCCCTGGAAAACAGATCAGGGCCAAATTAGCACACGCTTTCAATTACTGGCTAAAAATACCGCAAGATAAACTCCGTGCAGTCGGGGATATTATACAGCTACTTCATACTTCCAGTCTTCTGTGAGTTTGCACATTGTTTATTTGTTCTGATCCGATGCAATTTCAAATATATTCCTGTTTCCAACGATTCTTTTTGAATATATGCATACACGTGTATATATGTATATGAGATGAAAAAATTATCGATTAGTATAACTTTT